CCCTTACAAGACCACTCTTAGCACACACAAACAAAGCAACAAAGCACTCCATTCATGCCCCTTACAAGACCACTCTTAGCACACACAAACAAAGCAACAAAGCACTCCATTCATGCCCCTTACAAGACCACTCTTAGCACACACAAACAAAGCAACAAAGCACTCCATTCATGCCCCTTACAAGACCACTCTTAGCACACACAAACAAAGCAACAAAGCACTCCATTCATGCCCCTTACAAGACCACTCTTAGCACACACAAACAAAGCAACAAAGCACTCCATTCATGCCCCTTACAAGACCACTCTTAGCACACACAAACAAAGCAACAAAGCACTCCATTCATGCCCCTTACAAGACCACTCTTAGCACACACAAACAAAGCAACAAAGCACTCCATTCATGCCCCTTACAAGACCACTCTTAGCACACACAAACAAAGCAACAAAGCACTCCATTCATGCCCCTCACAAGATAACTGACCCCACTATTAGCACACACAAAGCCCTTGTAGCCCTCCTTTGAAAATGTTGCATAGATTTTACATTAGATCACGCCGTGGAACTACTCAAGCGAAACGGAGAATTCCGTTACAATAGACCCTCCCCCACCCCCGCATGTTCTGAGTGATAGCGTGCAGAGATTCAGACCCCTGCAAGCCAAGATACAACAGACCCCCACCCCTACCCCCACCCCCTAGGGTGTCAGGTCGCGCCTGTGTTTGGGCTAAGGTCAAATCACTTGAGTAGGGTGGCGCGAGCAAATACAATCAGAAATTAATTATGCGGGAATGGTTGATCTGCACCGTGTCACGTGATAGGTAAGTCGTGGTGGGGAGGTTTGTGTGTGTGTGTGTGAGGGTGTGTGTATGTGTGTGTGAGTGAGGGAGTAGTGGGCGGAGTGGGAGGGGAGGTCCCAGAGAATAAATAGCAAGCTTTGAGGTGTAACACTATTCAGTGACAATGTGATACCTCGCACATGAAACACAAACCTATTTAACACAGTCCATTCAAACGGTGATAACTATCTGATTATGATCGTGTTAAATACATATCTGGTCCAAAGCAAAGCAGAATTTGAACTGAACTAGTAGTGGTTCAAATAGTTTCCCATCACTCAAGCTACAAACAAACCTACCAATCACTAGACATGTTGGTCTAAAGTAAATAATCAACAAATCACTAGTTAACATGTTGGTCTGAAGAAAATAAAATGTAGAAACGATAGTCCCGTCACCTACTTTCTCTGGTCACGCTAGAGATTTCTTCCAACATCGACTGAACCTTTTCCCCGTTAATTTACGTGATTTCGTGATCACTTTAAAATTTCAGTAACTCGTTATTTTGTTGTCGCAAATTCTGAATAGGAATTTTTTGTATTCAATCAGTCGAGACAAAGAATTAATTTGTAAATGAGTAAATACATGTATATTTATTTGTCTTTACATTTAGCATTAGGTAAGATAAAACATGCATGGACCTCTGATGTTTAATTTGCTTTGTTTATCTCTTTACAAACCACACCACCAAAGGATATTTTTATAAAAGGATTATTGATTCACACATTACTGTAGCCTAGGACCTTTTGTGGCTTTTACATGGGGATTATGTAGCTCTCATGGAACAGGATTTTATGCTAATCTTCATAAGAATAAATTATGAAAGACAATGTGATAAAAGTCGTTAAGTTTTGAAAGATCGGTCTTGTTTTGTTTCTTTCTTGTTTGGAGTTGTATGCTATAGTTTTGAGTTGTATGCTATAGTTTTGAGTTGTATGCTATAGTTTTGAGTTGTATGCTATAGTTTTGAGTTGTATGCTATAGTTTTGAGTTGTATGCTATAGTTTGGAGTTGTATGCTATAGTTTGGAGTTGTATGCTATAGTTTGGAGTTGTATGCTATAGTTTGGAGTTGTATGCTATAGTTTGGAGTTGTATGCTATAGTTTGGAGTTGTATGCTATAGTTTTGAGTTGTATGCTATAGTTTGGAGTTGTATGCTATAGTTTGGAGTTGTATGCTATAGTTTGGAGTTGTATGCTATAATTTGGAGTTGTATGCTATAGTTTGGAGTTGTATGCTATAGTTTGGAGTTGTATGCTATAGTTTTGAGTTGTATGCTATAGTTTGGAGTTGTATGCTATAGTTTGGAGTTGTATGCTATAGTTTGGAGTTGTATGCTATAGTTTGAAGTTGTATGCTATAGTTTGGAGTTGTATGCTATAGTTTGGAGTTGTATGCTATAGTTTGGAGTTGTATGCTATAGTTTGGAGTTGTATGCTATAGTTTGGAGTTGTATGCTATAGTTTGGAGTTGTATGCTATAGTTTGGAGTTTATTGCTATAGTTAAAGTGTGGGACGGCGTGCTCACACTGAGAATGTAGACACAATGTTTAGTTCATATTGAGTATGTAGACACAATGTTTGGTTCATATTGAGAATGTAGACACAATGTTTAGTTCATATTGAGAATGTAGACACAATGTTTAGTTCATATTGAGAATGTAGACACAATGTTTAGTTCATATTGAGTATGTAGACACAATGTTTGGTTCATATTGAGAATGTAGACACAATGTTTAGTTCATATTGAGTATGTAGACACAATGTTTGGTTCATATTGAGAATGTAGACACAATGTTTAGTTCATATTGAGAATGTAGACACAATGTTTAGTTCATATTGAGAATGTAGACACAATGTTTAGTTCATATTGAGAATGTAGACACAATGTTTAGTTCATATTGAGTATGTAGACACAATGTTTAGTTCATATTGAGAATGTAGACACAATGTTTAGTTCATATTGAGTATGTAGACACAATGTTTGGTTCGTATTGAGAATGTAGACACAATGTATAGTTCATATTGAGAATGTTTAGTTCACACTGAGAATGTAGACACTATGTTTCATTCATATTGAGAATGTAGACACAATGTTTTTAGGTAGGGCTCGCATTAAGCTCGTACGTGTAGCACAGTTGACAATAACACAGAATCCATAAATCCATACAACAAAACTACAATACATCAATACACCATTACGATCTCTGGATATTTAATTACATCTGTGTAATCATGTACAGTTAATCCGCGGGTCACTCATGACTTAACTGATCGAAGTTTGTTTGGTTGACTGACCCAGACGGCCCCCGCCCCCACCCCTCCCACGTATAAACCCCGCAGTTTTACATTGAATGATACACCGCAGTTATACATTGAATGATACACCGCAGTTATACATTGAATGATACACCGCAGTTATACATTGAATGATACACCGCAGTTATACATTGAATGATACACCGCAGTTATACATTGAATGATACACCGCAGTTATACATTGAATGATACACCGCAGTTATACATTGAATGATACACCGCAGTTATACATTGAATGATACACCGCAGTTATACATTGAATGATACACCGCAGTTATACATTGAATGATACACCGCAGTTATACATTGAATGATACACCGCAGTTATACATTGAATGATACACCGCAGTTATACATTGAATGATACACCGCAGTTATACATTGAATGATACACGAGGCAATGGTTAGAGAGATACCCCTAGATTGGGCACTAGCTAACACGTGATGAGTGGATTACTCATGGGAGGGTTTATATAAAGGCAGGGTTTATATAAGACAGGGTTTATATAAGGCAGGGTTTATATAAGGCAGGGTTTAAGTTTATACGATGGGTTAGGCTACTTAAGGTAGGGTTTATATAAGGCAGGGTTTATATAAGGTAGGGTTTATATAAGGCAGGGTTTATATAAGGCAGGGTTTATATAAGACAGGGTTTATATGTGACAGGGTTTATATATGGCAGGGTTTATATAAGGCAGGGTTTATATAAGGCGGGGTTTATATAAGGATGGGTTTAAAAGGTAGGGTTTATATAAGGCAGGGTTTATAAAAGGCAGGGTTTATAAAAGGCAGGGTTTATACGATGGGGTGGGAGTACTCAGGGGAGAGGGAATCATTGAACACGAAGCAATGTTTACACAAGCAAAGCTGACCTCTGACAACAAGATTGAGATGTAAAGCTCGTGGTCTCGTGAGGACATCAGCACCAGAAGAAAATGTCACCAAATCACCCAAGGCCAACTATCACAATAGAACTTCACTGGCTTTCTGCACAGATACGCGTATCATAGATAGGGAAGACACAGAGATATTTGCTACTGCATGCGACGTTAGAAAATTTGAAAGCTAGACTGAGTCGTTGTGTTCCCCCCCCCCCCCCGTCCCCCCGTCCCCCACCTTTCCCAACACCACGGTCAGTTGATTTGGTTTCCATTGAGCATTGAGACTGTTCTAAAGGTAATTTCCTTAATACATGATACATTTTTCACACAAACACAAACACACACACAAACACACAAACACGAACATATATATATATATATATATATATATATATATATATATATATATATATATATATATATATATATATATATATATATATATATATATATATATATATATATATATATATATATATATATATGAGAGTATACTCCCAGAAATAAAGTATTTAATAAAATTTACTAAACGAAAAGTGTTACTAAACGTGCCGAGCATAATATAATAGCAGATACACAGGGGACCAAGACCTCCTATTGTGTACGTTTGTCAGACTGTCAGACTGACGCCATAATGACAGACCAACAAGGCCTCCTATTGTGTCAGACTGTCAGACTGACGCCATAAATGACAGACCAACAAGGGATCAAGGCCTCCTATTGTGTCAGACTGTCAGACTGACGCCATAATGGCAGACCAACAAGGCCTCCTATTGTGTCAGACTGTCAGACTGACGCCATAATGGCAGACCAACAAGGCCTCCTATTGTGTCAGACTGTCAGACTGACGCCATAAATGACAGACCAACAAGGGATCAAGGCCTCCTATTGTGTCCTGCTGTTGTATGTCAGACTGACGTCCACGTTGACCCCTACAAAACTACCAAGTAAAATTACGTACCCCAAACCTTCTCGCCTGATCTAGTGGCCGTGCGACTGTCTTAAGCTGGCCGTGCGACTGTCTTAAGCTGTCCGTGCGACTGTCTTAAGTTGGACGTGCGACTGTCTTAAGATGGCCGTGCCAACAGCTGGCACACAACAAAAGGAAAAAACTCGGAAGAAAGGGAGAATATTGCTTCAGTTTCTGACAGGCCGATTGTATTCTTGTTGGCGGCCTTATGGGGCTTTAATTAAAATCGTCGGTAGTCTAGCCTGGTAGGAAATATGTTGACAGGGAGGGGGAGGGGGGGGGTGAGAATAGACTTTGGTGAAGATAAGGAAGATAATAGAGATTGGAATACAAGTGTGTAAGCAGCCATTTGTTTGATACACGGGTCACGTGACTTGAGATCTCAATATGTTTCTAGATCGTGTTGATAACCGGCGTGTCAACCATATGTTACAACCATATGTAACAACCATATGTAACAACCATATGTAACAACCATATGTAACATCATATATAACAACCATATGTAACAACCATATGTAACAACCATATGTAACCATATGTAACAACCATATGTATCAACCATATGTAACAATCATATGTAACAACCATATGTAACAACCATATGTAACAACCATATGTAACCATATGTAACAACCATATGTATCAACCATATGTAACAATCATATGTAACAACCATATGTATCAACCATATGTAACAACCATATGTAACAACCATATGTAACAACCATATGTAACAACCATATGTAACCATATGTAACAACCATATGTATCAACCATATGTAACAATCATATGTAACAACCATATGTATCAACCATATGTAACAACCATATGTAACAACCATATGTAACAACCATATGTAACAACCATATGTAACATCATATATAACAACCATATGTAACAACCATATGTAACAACCATATGTAACCATATGTAACAACTATATGTAACAACCATATGTAACAACCATATGTAACCATATGTAACCAACCATATGTAACCAACCATATGTAACAACCATATGTAACAACTATATGTAACAACTATATGTAACAACCATATGTTACAACCATATGTAACAACCACATGTAACCAACCATATGTAACAACCATATGTAACAACCATATGTTACAACCATATGTAACAAGCATATGTAAAAACTATATGTAACCAGCCATATGTAACCAACCATATGTAACAACCATATGTAACAACCATATGTAACCAACCATATGTAACCAACCAAATGTAACAACCATATGTAACAACCATATGTAACCAGCTGAAGAAGGAGACTGTGTACAGCCAACCATCCCCATAACCTCAAAGTAAATGATTGTTCTTTAACTAGACGGGTAGCATTTAAGTAGTCTTGCCATATATTTGAGTGTGTAAATATCTTCGCTTAGATTTGAGTGTGAATGTATGTGTATGTGTGTATGTGAGCGTATGTGTATGTGTGTGTGTTTGTGAATGTATGTGTGTGTGTAAGGGTCCACCGACATATGTATTCAGCTAACGGACGCCGCAATTAAAAAAATAAATCTAAAAATAGCCTGTCGGTACAATGAATAATTCATGAGGAATAAAAATAATCGCATCGTCCAAATCATTGAACATTTTATCGATCTAAGAAAATCTATAGATCTACATTAACTCTTAAGTCAAGTGGTGCGCCCTAAATGATATATTTACACACATATACACATACACCCATATACACATACACATACAGACAAGTTTATTTCTTGGCATTATCCCTTAGTACGTTGTTTAAAATATCTGTCATATATAAATACACTTTTGATATAAAAAAAACACAATGAGGTGGCATTTTGGGGACTGGAACGGCTTAATGACATTGTAATTAATTTAAATGGAGAAAATTGCTTTGAGATACGAACATTTCTTAGGAGCGAATTAAACTGGTATCTCGAGAGGTATCACCATATATATATATATATATATATATATATATATATATATATATATATATATATATATATATATATATATATATATATATATATACATATATAGGCCTCCTACATACATACATACATATATATATATATATATATATATATATATATATATATATATATATGTGTGTGTGTGTGTGTGTAAGTGGTTGAGAGTGATGAGGTGTCCCACAAGTGAGTGAGACCAATATGTCACTCGACTGTGATGAAACAACAGGCTGGAAATGTTTTCAGACATTTGATCAATAAAGCAGCTGGAACTTTTGTATCTTGTGAATACACATCTAGGTTAGCGCACGTACACTTACATGCACGCACGCACTCACACACGCAATAACACACACACACACACATACACATACACGTTTTGACCGAAGGTCACACGACTGGATACACACAGTTTTTCTTTGAGACAATATTTCGGGGGGGGGGGGGGGTAGGGAAAGAAAAAAAAAAGGGGGGGGGGGCTGCACACTTAAATTTTCCTTTTCGAGGGATATAGGTGTGTTACACGAAGAAATACCTGAAAATAACTCACACACACGGATGTGAGCAGAGTTTCTTCCAGGCATCTCTTCGGGAATTTATATAGAAAATATATACTTTTAACAATGCCCCCCCCCCCCCCCCCGAAAAATTTCAAGTGCCCCCCCCCCCCCCCGAAGAAAAAAGTCAGGAAGAAACAATGGGTGTGAGTGGTCAGAAAGATGAAAATTAATTAAATTATTTGTTTCAATTATCTTACAATTAATTAAATTATTTGTTTCAATTATTTTACAATTCATTAAATTATTTGTTTCAATTATTTTACAATTCATTAAATTATTTGTTTCAAATATTTTACAATTAATTAAATTATTTGTTTCAAATATTTTACAATTAATTAAATTATTTGTTTCAAATATTTTACAATTAATTAAATTATTTGTTTCAATTATTTTACAATTAATTAAATTATTTGTTTCAATTATTTTACAATTCATTAAATTATTTGTTTCAAATATTTTACAATTAATTAAATTATTTGTTTCAAATATTTTACAATTAATTAAATTATTTGTTTCAAATATTTTACAATTAATTAAATTATTTGTTTCAAATATTTTACAATTAATTAAATTATTTGTTTCAATTATTTTACAATTAATTAAATTATTTGTTTCAATTATTTTACAATTAATTAAATTATTTGTTTCAATTATTTTACAATTAATTAAATTATTTGTTTCAATTATTGTACAATTAATTAAATTATTTGTTTCAATTATTGTACAATTAATTAAATTATTTGTTTCAATTATTGTACAATTAATTAAATTATTTGTTTCAATTATTTTACAATTAATTAAATTATTTGTTTCAATTATTGTACAATTAATTAAATTATTTGTTTCAATTATTGTACAATTAATTAAATTATTTGTTTCAATTATTGTACAATTAATTAAATTATTTGTTTCAATTATCTTACAATCCGAACACGAGCATGTAAAAACTGGGTGAAAAATATTAAATAGCCTACACGCAGTTAATGATTTGATGTTTGTTGGCTTCAGTGGTTCTTCCAGACTTTTTTCTCCAAATGGGGGTGGGGGGGGGGGTATGGGTCGGCACTTAAAATTTCCGGTGGGCGGACTAAAATTTCCGGTGGGCGGACACTGGTAAAAAAAATATATTTTCTATATAAATTATATTTCATTGGGGGGGGGGGGGGGGCGGGGGACGGGGAGACGACAGTTGACGTTTTTCCTGAAATAAACTCTAGAACTCCGGTTAGCCTGTGTTGGTTTAATATTGGTTTGTAAACGCCGTCCCACACTGTAAAGTACTGTAAACTACTCAAGTGACGCCCCTTTGTGTAAACTAATGAAGTGACGCCCCCCCCCCCTTATGTGAACTAATGAAGTGACGCCCCCCCCCCCTTATGTAAACTAATTTAGTTACTGACTCCAGGGTCAAGTGACGCCCCTTTGTGTAAACTAATGAAGTGACGCCCCCCCCCTTATGTAAACAACTGAAGTGACTGACCCCGGGGTCAAGTCAAGCCCCGCTAGAATATCTACGCAGCTAATCAAGCGTGTCCTCATTTTATAACCGTCGACAGCGCGTGACTGGTTCCAGATTGGGCAATGTGGCCACGCCCTGAATCAGTCACGTGTGCTGTGTCGATTTGTCAGGTGGGTGTCAGCAACAGGCGGCCATTTTGTCAGGTGGGTGTCAGGTGGGTGTCATCAACAGGCGGCCATTTTGTCAGGTGGGTGCCAGCACCAGACCGTGACACAGACAACAATCAATAGCCAGTGAGGCGAGACAGCAGAGAACAAGCCGCACAACAAGACCGCTGGCGACATGACTGAGGTGGGAGACAGACCGGCGACACAGCTGTTACCCAAAACGTTCCCATATCTCCAGGTAATTCACAAATAGGTTCCAAAGCGCGTAAACTTAGACATGCGGTGTTTGCAATAATTGTACACTAGGGACCGTCCTATACAAAGTAATTAACCTGTTTTTGTTTGGTTTTGGCCCAACTTTTATCGATTAGAAGTTTGTCACAGCCCAGAGTTTGAAGGTCTTGGAAGATTTGACGACGCTCCGTCCCACTACTTCACCTGCCTACAGACCGTCAGAGATCGAAACAACTACTTCACCTGCCTACAGACCGTCAGAGATCGAAAAAACTACTTCACCTGCCTACAGACCGTCAGAGATCGAAAAAACTACTTCACCTGCCTACAGACCGTCAGAGATCGAAACAACTACTTCACCTGCCTACAGACCGTCAGAGATCGCACACTACTTCACCTGCCTACAGACCGTCAGAGATCGCACACTTCTTCACCTGCCTACAGACCGTCAGAGATCGCACACTACTTCACCTGCCTACAGACCGTCAGGGATCGAAACAACAAGCCTACTTCACCTGCCTACAGACCGTCAGAGATCGCACACTACTTCACCTGCCTACAGACCGTCAGAGATCGCACACTACTTCACCTGCCTACAGACCGTCAGAGATCGAAACAACTACTTCACCTGCCTACAGACCGTCAGAGATCGCACACTACT